CCCCCCCACACACACACACACACAAAAACCCCTCCCCGCCTCTCTCTCAATGCTTAAGTGCAATCACCCAGGCGTTACGGCACATACTTCATCACCAAGACGTTGTTCTGAAGAGGCAGCACTAAACAATAAGAAATTTTTTTAATTCCTTTGTCCATACAATTGTGATTCGTGTTTGTAGTCGTTATTCTTGAAATATGTATGTGCTTTTTATTTAGCTTCATTTGCGCCTTTCTTTACAAAAGGAAGGAAAGCATCACTTTTTTTATAGGTTTAGGGTTTAGAGTTTCTTCACAAGCTGATATTCAAAAACCCTACTGTATCATTCAAATTGAAAATTAAGCATGGACGAAGAGAAGCTTTCAAGATGGGTTTCATGGGCTGATGTTATTTGTCCATGCTTTCTATGAAATAAATATAGTTTCCTGTCCCACTAAATCCCATGTCAAAGTTGATCCCAGATGACCCATAATGTCTTTTTGACAAGCTATTGTGGTTTGACTTTAGGTTTAATGGATTTATCAGTTCTCTGTGTTTTGCTCTAGTATCACAGTTGACGAGGCAGAGAGGAAAAGAAGAGAAACAGAAGGATAATTGAGTTTAGTTTTTGGGAGAAGTCAAAATAGCCCCTTCTATGATTAACGTATTGTTTTTTATTAACAGCATCTTCGGGCAAGCTTGCGGTGCACTTCGACTAAACTTAGGCATCAAGTACTTGTTACATTTTACCGACAAAGGTATCGAGTAACTCTACTCACCAAGGCTTAGACAAGTGGTAAGAAATCATCAAGTGATTTTTGCCTCTGCTAGGATTTGAATCCTGATCTCCAAGGTTTGCACCCACTTCATTGACCACTAGCCACAACCTTGGATATTGCCCTACTATAAATATATTATTACATTGTTTTTTTATGAAGTTATATTATTATATTGTTAGCGTGCTGGTATGGCTATTTAAAAGAATATGTCAACCTCCATCTCAAAAAGAAAAGGTCAACCTGTCATTTCACAAACCGATTTAGATAAGGAAACATCAACAATTGAAACTTTTCTTCTTTCGGCGTTTTCCATGTGCAAACCACAGAAAAACATCATTGGTCCTTTCAAACAATAACCTTTCTGCCCTTCATCCTCAACTAAAAGTTGGTCCTCGGCATTCTGCACCCATGGGCATATGGCTTGGCAGGCCTTCCATTTCTACCGCAGCTTCATAGGCATTGCCCTGTTAACCAATCAGCTGTTTGGACAGGTAAAGATGGAGGGAAGATGAATAACGAGCTGGGATCAGTTTTGGTTCCTTTTCCTGCAGAGAAGGGGTGGCTTCGCAAGAGGAAGAGCAAACTTGAGGTGCAGTTATGTTTTTTCAGGTGACAAAATATATGGCTGACCCAAGAAAAAGATTATCAGAGACTTGGCTTGAAATAGTGCCAGGGTTGTTCAAAGAAGTCCAGTGTTGCAATTGGTTTCCCAATCTTAATAGAAGATAAGGATTCCAACCCTTGTCTCACCAATGCTCATTTTGATTTCAAGCCAATACTTGGTGGCACATGATTAGAGCACAGATACCAGCAATTTCCATGTTCGTTATAGAAAAAAGTTTAAAAACCAGCTGAAATCAGCTTCCAACAATAAAAAAAAAAGGAAATAACCTTATGTTTATTGCAAGGGTGAAAAATGATGAACCAAAGGCACGTACACGCAGGACTTCCTGGCCCTGATACTCCCTGCTGTCAAACTTGTTATCCTTCTGCAAAGATAAAGCAGTTGGTCAGAAGAAAAGAACGAAAAAGTTAATCATGCAGTATAGTACCAGGAAGTCAAGACTGGAATAGGAGACCTTTCAGGAAAGATTATAAGTGTACTTCCTGACTTATAAATAGCATCAGACCTCAGCTTGGTTGTCTTAAGACATCATACAACTTTATTAACATATGAAAAATGGATCCACCAATAATAACATCAAAGTCGGTCCCATGTCCAGAATTAAGAAGCAGTGGCAGCACTTTAACATGAAAAAGAAGAAAAACTCTGAAATCTCCATATTTTGGTTTTCGGTAGAGATGATAGTTCGAACGATAATATGACTCTTTCCATAATCGTAATTGGGCTGCTTCACTATTGCATTTTTGGTAACTATGTATGCTCTTTGAAAATAAATTAAAATTAACGACAAAGGAGACTGCTATCTATTATCTTCTTTTTTCAAAAACTGGAACCAATATCTGCTGATCTATTATCTTATGTACAAGAATGCAGAATTCACTGTTTGCTAGTCTAATAGTATGTCATATCAACAAAGGAATAATTCTATTGGTGGAAAACAAGGAAACTGACCTTTTCATACGAATTGTCTACAGTGCCAACAAGTAGACCTTTTTTATGAAGATTGTCATTCAGTAGATGTCACTTATCAAAAAGAAATGTCAAGACCTTAACACGCCTTATCTCGATGGACGAAAAGAATGCCTCCCCTCATATCTCCAAAACCTTATCGTTAGGCCTCACCACACATTGGTGGTATAAAGAGACCTCAATAGTTGGAGCCATGTCTAATATTGAGTTAGTACAACGTTTTTTTCTTTTCCTTTTTCTTTTTTCCGTGATTGGTAAGTTAGCACACAGTGAGTAAGCTGTTGTACCGACTACAAAGTATTTGGTAAACCGGAAGTTGGTAATTACATACCTCTAAGTGCACATCTCAACTATTTTGTGTAGCTATTCTAAGTTTGCCCCTAGTTTTTCAAAAGTGAATAGTACATAGCACGGCAATTTAAGCACTTGATCCCCCCAACACAACCACACAAGCTATACTTGAAGATTTTTATGACCACATTCTTTTTCTAGCTTTTAGATCCCATGAGCAATAACACATAAAGCAGCCTAAATGAAAGACGACTGTAGCCTAAATGAAACAGAACTCTATCTAAATTTTCTAAGCATATCTGGACAACTGGCAAGTTCTTTCTTATATAACTGCCAGAAAATTCTAACTGAGATTCTTAACTTTTTCTTCCCTGAATGCCCTTGTATCGCTAATTCTCTAACATCCTTAAATTCTTTATTATCAAGAGTCCATCAGTTATCACAACTCTACTCATCAGACTTCTACTGCAGAAAACAGACAACATAATGATAAAAACAACTAGAGATTGACTTGAACTGTTTCACCCTCGCTAACCCGTACGGCAATTTCTTTTTAGCTTAGTGGTCAAGAGAGAATAGATCTTTAAACAACATGAGTATATGACATAGATAGTTTCTCTAACATGGAACTTATGACTTGCATGAGTTCTCAAAATTTCCAAGAGATATATTTAAAATAACTAACCTTCCGAGAATCAGCAAGCATATCTTCTACATGGCACTGAAGCTGAACATCGCCAGGAACTCTACAGATCTGACCATTTTTCTCGAGTTCTTTATAAATCTCTAGCAAACGAGTATAGCGATTACAGCATATAACCCTAAGCAGCAACTTCTCAACGTCAATACAACTCTGGTCAAGGGAAAATTCCGCTTCTTTTCCTGTCAGAGGATCAATGACAAATGTGCTATGAAGACACTTAATTCGCAGATCCAGTCCAGGTTCAATTTTTATAAATGGGCATGTTCCAATTTCGGATGTGCTGGAGTTTTTATCCAAATCCAACCAATACAAAATCTTCAGCCCAGGAGTACGCAAACTAGCAGAATCAGACTCCCCATCTTGTGATATTTGTGCGGAGCCAGAACTGCCACCCTGTCCAGTACTACCATCAGATATGAGCTCAAAACGAATAGCATCTTTCCACCTTCCATGACGAAGTGTCTGCACTTGCCTTATGACAGTGTCCATAACAAGTGCCACACAAAGTTCATGCAGGATGGAGTATAAGGTCATAAATGGATTGTCTGCAGCAGCCATCCTGCGTTCCAAATCATCACCAAGAGCATGCCGCCGAAAGTCATCCAGCTTCATAGGGCCACTTCTCTCACCGACAAGCAGCTCCATATGTAATATTCTCCACATTGACAGGTGTCCTCGGTAACCAAGGGTAACTAGAACCTTAAATTCTCCATCCACGCGGAGCAGAACAGTACCGTCAGAAACTTTGACTTCAGTAATGTCCTTAGGAAGTGAAACCTCAAGGAGTTTAGACCTAACAAGTGCGTCTAACTTCTTTAATGCTGGTTTTTGTTGGTTGGCATTTAATATGCTCTGCAAGCCCACATCTTCTATACATTTTGGCAAACGCTCATAACTTCCGGTAAGAAGAACTTCAACAGCCGAAGGAACATCATAAATGGGAGCACGAGCTTGTTGTAGTCCTTCATGCATAAAAAATAATGAGTCTGCAGCTTGGGTGAAACATGTCTCATGACTAGATAAAGTTGATGCAAGTTGCTGACAATATTGTATCAAGGGGACCTGCAAACCAAAAAATTGGAATGTAAAAGAGATTAGTTATGGAGTATGAACTGCAGTCTCTAGGGATTGATGATAAAGTATATAGGGCCAACCATTAATCCCAAAGGTCCAGGAAGATTTGGCAACCATATTTCTACTGTCACCTATATACTGAATATAACACAAGTGAATCGTTCCTTTCAGAGATGACAGATGAAGCAATGAAAACATGAAAGAGGAAAAAAGCCATGAAGACCAACACTATACTTACCAACATATACCTTGAAAGAGTTCATAAATCTAAGATTAGAGGATCAAATGATTCATAGAAAGATGCTTAAAGTATGACCTACAGGAAACTCATTGCCCTTTTGGTATGATAAAAGTTTTCGAAGAAGCACCATGCTGTGAGGCTGCATAATGTCTTGAGTAGAAGCAAAAGGTCTTGGAGACACAAAAGTGTGCACCTTTTGAAGGACAAAAAAAACACCTTTGGTGTTTGATGATTGACAATGTTGATTTTATACGCAAATGGTTTTCTCCAAAAAAAGATGAGAACTTAAAACACTTTTCTAGGTCCTTTTGCTCTGTTAATAGACAATAAGCTTTTCAGGACGTATAAAGCGGACCCGTTCATATTTTGCTAGTGGAGCTCTTTTTAGAGGGTTGGCATCTCTTCTACAATTACCTACAGGTAAAAGATCCAGTTCAAACCCATGACCAGGGTGGGGATAACAGAACTACAGAAGAAACAGACCAAACCAGACTTTTTCCTTTTCAGTTTTTTGGTCCGTTTTCAGCTTTAATGTTCAAATTTTCGGTTAATCAGTTTGGGGTTGTCGGCTTTTAACATTTGGTACTTTAGTTAATCAAAAAACCGAAATTACGTATTGCCCCATTTGACCCTAAGCATGAAGTTGCTACCTTAGGAACGCAACCAGATGCCCCCCCCCCNCCTGCGTTCCAAATCATCACCAAGAGCATGCCGCCGAAAGTCATCCAGCTTCATAGGGCCACTTCTCTCACCGACAAGCAGCTCCATATGTAATATCCTCCACATTGACAGGTGTCCTCGGTAACCAAGGGTAACTAGAACCTTAAATTCTCCATCCACGCGAAGCAGAACAGTACCGTCAGAAACTTTGACTTCAGTAATGTCCTTAGGAAGTGAAACCTCAAGGAGTTTAGACCTAACAAGTGCGTCTAACTTCTTTAATGCTGGTTTTTGTTGGTTATCATTTAATACGCTCTGCAAGCCCACATCTTCTATACATTTTGGCAAACGCTCATAACTTCCAGTAAGAAGAACTTCAACAGCCGAAGGAACATCATAAATGGGAGCACGAGCTTGTTGTAGTCCTTCATGCATAAAAAATAATGAGTCTGCAGCTTGGGTGAAACATGTCTCATGACTAGATAAAGTTGATGCAAGTTGCTGACAATATTGTATCAAGGGGACCTGCAAACCAAAAAATTGGAATGGTAAAAGAGATTTAGTTACGGAGTATGAACTGCAGTCGCTAAGGATTGATGATAAAGTATATAGGGCCAACCATTAATCCCAAAGCTCCAGGAAGATTTGGCAAACATATTTCTACTGTCATCTATATACTGAATATAACACAAGTGAATCGTTCCTTTCAGAGAAGACAGATGAAGACATGAAAGGGGAAAAAAGACATGAAGACAAACATTATACTTACCAACATATACCTCGAAAGAGTTTATAAATCTAAGATTAGAGGATCAAATGACTCGTAGAAAGCTGTTTGAAGCATGACCTGCAGGCAACTCACTGCCCTTTTGGTATGATAAAAGTTTTCGAAGAAGCACCATGCTGTGAGGCTGCATAATGTCCTGAGTAGAAGCAAAAGGTCTTGAGAGACGCAAAAGTGATGTGCACCTTTTGAAGAACAAAAAGTTCCTTTGGTGTTTGATGATTGACAATGTTGATTTTATACGTGAATGGTTTTCTCCAAATAAAGATGAGAGCTTAAAACCCTTTTCTAGGTCCTTTTGCTCTGTGAATAGACAATAAGCTTTTCAGGTCATATAAAGCGGACCCGTTCACATTTTCCTAGTGGAGCTCTTTTTAGAGGGTAGCCATCTCTTCTACAATTACCTACAGGTAAAAGATCCAGTTCAAACCCATGACTAGGGTGGGCATAACAGAACTACAGAAGAAACCGACCAAACCAGACTTTTTCCATTTCGGTTTTTTGTCCGTTTTCAGCTTTGATGTTCAAATTTTCGGTTAATCAGTTTGGGGTTTGTCGGCTTTTAACATTTGGTACTTTAGTTAATCAAAAAACCGAAATTACGTATTGTCCCATTTGACCCTTAATCCTTTCATCAGTCCACCACAACAGAAAAGTTCAGTTGTCCACCCCTAAACATGATCATTGGCACATAAATTTGCTACCTTAGGAACACAACCAGATGCCCCCCCCCCCC